TACAAAACAATGATACAGTATGAAGTTCGTTAGTAAAGCACAGAACTTTTACAAAGCAGCCGTGGTGTGAAAGGCGAAGAAGCAAATTTACAACAGTACTTGAAGGAAGTTTACAAACTGATGAAGTGGGTTTTAAATTGAAGCAGTCAAGGAAGTCGTGAAAATTATTGATTGGGCGTTTTCATTTTCAATACATTATAGATTTCCAAGCCTAACGGATAGCAGCTGAGCTGTTGTTGTTGTTGCGCATCCTTTCATTGTTAAGTGACATATATAGATTTTTTAACCTTTGAGCTTTTCCTCTTCACGTCAACAGCGCAGACGTTTTTCCGTTAAAGTTATGCTTGCACTCTGCTTAATGGGTCACAATACCGGAATGCTCTGGATCGTTCCTCCTAACAGCCACCGGTGTTCTTTTATTTTCATGTTACGGGTTCTGTAACGATGATTCGCCAATAGTTTTGTCATTTAATCTGATAACCACGTTAGATTTGTCAAAGTTAACTATGGAGTATAATTGCTTGCATAAAATGGATCTTAGAGGGTTGTATGGTTTATATAGAACCCAGAAGGCTTGTTTTTGGAGGTAACATGTTGATTTGTTTATGAATTTTGATCTTGTTTCGCATCTATAACCCATTATATACGTTACCGTCCAAAGTGGAAGCGGTATGAAATTAAACCGATTTGTGATTCAGTCCAAGCAGGTAATCCTCTGATTTTACTGGATTAAAAGCGTACCTATGCGAAATGTAGATTTAAAGCCCATCCATATACTTAAGCCTCACCATCGTTGCCAACCTGTTTCAGTTCACATCGCAACTTTTATGTCTATTAAGGCTTAGGCAGTAATGTGGTAAAGATTACACGTTGCAGTCTGGATTAAAAAGCAGATTAGTTTGCAGTCCTTACTGGTATGGACGGATTAACGCTCTTGATGGTAATATATACATGCCTCGTGAACTGCTGAAAGTCAGGTACCAACAGTCTGCTACAGCAATAAAATTGAACTTGATTAGCTGATTAACTGATCATATTTGATTGCGGAAGAAATGCAAGGATAAATCAGAATAGTGATTTCTGTGATGATGGATTTTGTGCCGGAAGCCGAAATATCGGCATGAAATAACGAACTATCTTATGTCATGCCCAAGTGATTTGTATTGAGAAAAAGACTATTACTAATTAATAATGTTAGTAATGGTCGGAAGATACATCATACCCAGTGGGAGAAGGATAAAAATGCAGTGGGATTAGAATAGGCAGGTAAAAAGAACAAGTAGATAAAATAATTTTTTTGTTGCTGCTACTTACACTGAAACAGCATGGCAGTGATTTATTTTACGCAACGCAAAGGATTCTGTCAGCTAATTAGCCTTGCGAATCGGCGCTAACTAACATCGCCCATGAGAAGACAGCGCTACCAATCAGCAAACAATTTTTACCTTGAGGCAAAGTGTTCTGAGTTACAGTCCCAACCGTTGATCGCAGTGTATCCTCAACATGACCAACTTTCTTCCGTGTTGTATCTTAAACAGTTTTATGCTGTTTGAATAATTTCAGTTTGATGACTTATTTGCTGCTTCTGTTGCACATTTTACAAAGCGCCTATTCACTTTTAATCTTTGGTTCATCTTCTTGGGCTATATTGCACAGAGATAGAATGGCACATAACTCTTCAAAGACCAGAATTCACGGCTCATTGCACCCCTCCTTGCTCTTCCTTGTCGAAGGGGGTCATTTATGCAGGTCACTACTCAGATGTTTCTCATCATTTGGTTCAGCACTGCCTCTTCGCTTGATCACGTTTATGTCGGTGTATCGATGCACAGTGGGCAAAGAAACGGTCATTTTGAGAAATTAATTTCACGATGGAAAATTGGATATGAAATATGCTGACCAGAAATTACATATCGCGTATAATGTTCTAATATTAGAGTAAAGGAAAGACTGTTAGAAGCTTGGAGAAATATATTTATTAAGTGATATGGACTGTTCGGCTGAAGAACAACACTGTTATCGGTACCTCATATCAATATTTGTTCTAGGCTTTTAACCTTCTATTTCTTAATCTGTTTTCGTTAAGGTCTTTTTTGTCATTTTGAAGTGAAACATTAATATTGATGTTATAATATTTGGTCTTTGTCTTTTTAACCGTACAGATATTAATGTTTTTAATCATACTGATGTTAATAACCATTTACGATTTAATTTATAGTTTATTTTTAGCTCAGATTTGTTTTATGCAATGCTTAAGTTACAGTCGAGGAATGTTCACTGAAGTAGATACTGTTCCTGTGAAGTATGTAGCATAAAATTCGTCTTCGTCTCTTCAATGACCAACGATGAACCGCAAGTTGTCTCGGACGAAAAGCTCTCTGACGACGAGGTGGATGACGAGAAGGACTGTTCGCAGCTGAATACAAGTCGGGGAGAAGGAAGTGTAAGATGTCGTCTAAAATTTGCTGTTCACCTGGTTAATTAATCTAGGCACTATTTTCAGGCTTGTACAATATGTTTCGAACCGTACACCAGTGTTGGATCTCACCGCGTAGTTTGCCTCAGGTGCGGACACCTGTTTGGCAAAAAGTGAGACAAATTTGGCAGTGCCTCGTCAAATTGTCAATATCATAATTTTCTCTGTTTTTCAGATGCATCAATCGATGGCTTGCAGAAATACGTGGTTCTAGGAAATTCTGCCCAACTTGTAAACAGCCGTGTAAGCGATCAGACATAAGGGAACATTTTTGTCGCGGAGTTCAAGTAAATCATGATATGAACGTGTTGCTTTCTTATTGAATCGCAATTCTTTCCTTTGACTGGAGAGTAGACAATATGATGTTTTTCTAATTGTGTTGTGGCCTGTAATAAATGGCTTAACTCTGTCTTTTGTACCTGCATGAAACCTGAATGTGTTGTACATGAATCGAATAGGCAGGAGCAGCAAGGTAATGAGTGTATCGGTGTAGGAGACGTGAAGACGAGACGGCTGCTGTTTGCAGACGACCTTGTTTTATTGACATCTTCTGAAACTGATCTTCAGTGTTCCATAGAAAGGTTCGCAGCCGAGTGCGACGTGACCGCATGCGTGTGAACGCATCTAAAACGGCAAGGCCTAGTGCCTTCTCGTTTTTCTGCCCGTTGCTCTCTTCAGATTAATGGAGAGGCAGTGGAGGAGGTGGAGAAGTTCAGGTACCTCAGAACTGTATTTACTAGTTATGGAAAATTTGAGGAAGAGATCGACCGGTGAATTGGAGTAGCCAATGGCGTTCTGCGTGAACTCGCCCAAAGTCGTGACTAAAGCAGAGCTATGTCTGAAGTCTAAGCTCTGTGTTCAAGTCGATCTTTGTCCCTATGCCTACTTACGGTCATGAGTCTTGGACCATGACAAAAATGTTCGAACCCGGGTAGAAACTGCTGAAATCGGTTTTCTGAGACAAGTCAGTGGCCTTAGAGACGTGTCTCGACATAGTCCGGTATACTGACCTCCGGGAGAGCCTTGGTGTACATCCTCTGCCAGTCCAGATTGAGAAGTCACAGCTGCGGTGGTTTAGACATTTTTCGTGAATGCCTCCAGAAAGGAAGACTAAGCAACTGTATCTTGCCATATCGACGAGCAGAAGGCCCAGGGGACGGTCAAAATTAACCTGATGCAAATATATGGAAGGAGTCTGTTCCAGACTCTAGTTGTCTTCTGTCGAAGCTCTGACTTTGGCACAGGATCGGGAACGTTGGAAACACTGTGTGACACGTCTTCCTCTGCCTGAAAGGAGAAACGGCTATGGAAGATGAAGAGGGTGAAGATGCAACCTCAATATTTTAAAATGGGCATTTTTTAACCAGATGTTGCACTCATTCGGAAAGATCTGTTTTGTTACGTACAAAATGGTAAGGGTATTTATTTATCCTTAAATGTAGGCGGCTAATCCAGTATCCTTTCATACATGAAGATTGCATAATTTGGTTTATTTGGTAATGATGAGCTACCGCTACGCTAGTGTGAGCGAAAACTTATAAAGTTTAAATAATGCGTTGCTCTGTATTCATAATTTCTCTTCAGCTTCACTGCTTTTGGTTTTCGGTTATCTTCCAGTTAACTTTCTTATCTGATGTGTGATAGCCATCCTCATTAATGAGTTTCAATTATCTGAGTCATTCCAAAAATTATTTGGAAGTTTGATCTGTTGTGGTCCTCTTCATTTTGTCAATTTCGAGTTGTACTGCCTCTTAGAAGTGCGTAGATCAAGCTTCGGTTTAGTACACATATACAGTTAAGATTACAACTGCGTCTGTCTCATCCTAAAAAAGACGAGCCTTAGAGCTGACCATCACATAAATTTTTACATGTACGATGTATTATGTTGATGAGCACTTGTGCAGTGGTACCAAAAGGCGCAAGGTTCAGTTGTCCATGCGGTGTAAATCTGCTTATTTTCTTAAAGTAGCAGTTTACAACTGTTGCTTCTGTGCATACAGCTGAGAGATGTGTAGAAAGTCGATATTCTGTGATGATTGGTGATAGTGTTTTTGTTTGTACGTTGTTTAGGAAGTGTGCCACGGGCTTAAACGTTCAAACCTATGATTCCGCAGAATGGTAAGGGTTTATTAGGATTTTGGACAATTTTCATGGCTTATACAAAGAAAAGTCTTCCAGATAATCACAAGTCTTTCCATATTAGCTTTTGGCCTCATCTTTGCATCACTTTATTTCTACGAGAGAATTTGATCAATCACGATGGTGATGTTCTTGCTCATGGTTGTGTAAAACCACGTCATTCTTACTGTATAAGTGCTACGTTTCTTAACTTAATCGCAGAAAGCACCTTCCGGTTTGCTCCTCTATGTCATCAACGAATCTTTAAAATGTTGAACAGTCACCACTGTTAGAAAGCATATAAGTGGCTGATAGGAGCAGTGATCATGCCAGCCTCAAGTTTCGAGACTTACGGTTATTCCTTCTGATGTACGCGCATGACATCCAAAACGTATTGACCCGGATAATAGTTTTCTAACCATTGCAGTGATCAAATAGACAATAAATAAATTTTGTGTTGGTAACTTCAACAATATTTTCTCTGTGCTTCTGGATTTTAGGTTACAGATAACTCTGAACTCCATGATGCGCTTCAGCAGTTGGAGAAGCACCGACAGATGGCACAAGATAAGGAGGTTCAGATTGCAACATTGCGTTACAAATGCGTTCAATACGAAGAGTCGATCAAGGTGCTGGAGGCTGTAATAGAAAAGCTAAAAAAGTAAGATCTAGAATTTTGGGCATTTTTAGACAGGTCTTGTTGAGGTGTTGGTTTGGTCGTTTTGCTTCTGGAGGCTAAATGCAAATCCGTTCCATTCTTTGATCCAAAGTATAGATTTTGTCTAAACATGCGATTATTCCCATCAACCCTTGTGGCCAATGGTTCGTTAGCAGAGTATTTGTAGGCTAATATCTGGCCTTCGTATTTATCATTTTTTGCACCTGTGAAAGTGCATTCGGCTGTAATTACATGGTGCAGTGATTAGGTCCTTGCTAGGCACCAAGTTTCTGCAGCATAAGGCGGGCACTAAGTCTGCTAACAACTGGAATTCATATGTACGCTGCCTTTGTAAGTCAAAGAGTAAAATTACTCCTCGGCTCGATACCAACTCGATGGGATTAAACACTTCTTTCAAGAAGGCAATACAAGAAAAATTACTTTACCATATTTGATAAATGAAGAATCGTTGTCACCTTTACCGCTTTCTAAAATAGACATGCCTACGTTTTCGGCAACCCAGCTTTCTTGGCAGCAATTAATTTCGAAGGTTCTTATCGATACTTTGCCAGTGATGACTTGAAGATGGTTGGTCTTTTGATTTCCTGGTGGCTCAAGAAACGCGGAAAAATTTTATTTACAGAAATTTCAACGTTGGCGTCACTGAATTGGCATTGGTCATTATCAGGGAATGAACAAGAAAAAAATCTCTGGGTCGCTTGGTGCTGCTTGACCCGCTTGGTTGAAAGATGGACCGGTTACGGCTAGCAATCATATTCCACGCCGCAGAAATGTCACTGGAGCAAGTGCAACGGTCAAAGTTCTATTTTTGTCTGTAGTGATGTGTAGCGACTCATTGATTAACAGCTTCAACTTGTCGCGATGTTGATCGATCATCGTTACGTCGCTGTTATTAAATTCATGACCATTTTCTAGAGCACGAGTAACAAAACCAGAATGATCAGCGTTACGGTACCTGATGGCTCTTCTGTGTTCCGTTAATCTAGTTTTTAACGATCGAAAAATCTTACCAAAATAAATCTGCTCAGCTTCTGATGGGCAACGTTTTTATTCCCCAAGCGTAGGCGAGGATAAAGGTTTTTATACTACAGTTTTCCTAAGGATTTGCCCCTGCAAAAATGATACATTTTTTCCTAACTTGTTTGAATATCATCTTATTTCCTCCATACGATTATTCAAATATCGTCTCTGAATATTTACCGGATATGGTTTTCTTCGTGATGATCAAAAACAGGGCTAAGTGGAAAAATGTAAATCTTCTCTTGAGCATCCTGAGCCCATAAGACATCTTCTACTTATTTAACTTATTCAAATATGATAATTTGCTATGTTTGTTTTGAATCTGATAATGTAATACGGCGTCGTGACAGGTTTCCTTCTCAGTGTAGTCCTAGCCGAAATCTACATGAACCATATGAACTCCAAAGCCTTGACGCTGTTTACCTCACCTCAAACCTGCACTGTATTTAGAATACACTGATGAAATTTTCATTTTGT